CCTTCTATACAATTTTACTACTTTAGTAGTATTATCTTATACTTAAATTCGCGCGACTATGAATTTTTATTACTTGTTAGTGTTTCGAACAAATTATTGACCCAAATTACAACTAACTTTAATAGTTATAATTAAAAAAAATCTGTACAGTGCCAAGTAACATAAATTATCCGGTTTTTAGCTTTATTACTTTAAGAAAATCATTACCACTCTCATTATTCCTGCTTTCCGTAACAATTCTGCAGTGACTATGATCCTTTCTGCATTTGTAACCTTATTCTGTGATTTCTGCGGTATTCCGTGTAATGCAGAAAATCAGTGGCCCTGATCTACATATAGTCAAAATTAGGTGCATCAAAAATTTTGGGGTGATCTACAAATCCGCCAATATGATATTAATGGAAAGTATTAAAAATGACTACCAAAGCTGAAAATATAATCAATTGGTTTGAACATAAGAGAATAAGAAGATGGTATAGTAAAGAGTTACGAATAATGTGGGTAAAAACGTTCAAGAACTTAAATAGAACAGACAAACCATTATCAAGATATACTAGCCCAAAAGAATCGAATATTAAGAATTTTAAGGTAAAATTGATAATGGAAGAGCTACCAAATTATGAAAACCTATATATACGAGATAAGATAAAATACATCAGCTCAGAATGTAGAAGATATAATACCACGATTGAAGACAATACACATTGGTTGTTCTGCATAAAAAATATAGTCAAAATAGATAATATAATTAAAGAAGCTATATTGGAAATAGAGATAGAAAAAGATATAAAGGTGAGTAATATAAGTAAGTTTATAGAATGTTTCAAACATATACACTTGGATAAGAAGGTACCAATAGGGATAATAACAGAACAGACGAAGTTTCTGAATAGCAATAAAAATGTAGCTACAAGAATGACCAATAAACTACACCATAAGACAATAGTTAAAATAAAAGAGAAAATTTGGTTGCAAAGCAAAATTGAGTTACAAGAATACCCAATATCAATGATAAGTCAAAGCATTAACACAGAAAATCTAGAAGATATAGCAGAAAAAGAGGAAAATTATATAAATAATAATATACGTAAATGGGGTGAATTATTTGTAAATAGATATAGCAATTACATAAATATATTAAAAATAGTTTAGAGATCATGATCTATCTAGCTAAAATTAGATCTGAGGTTATATAACCTGACACCCACTTCCGTAAATATGTAATATCAAGTAACGAATAGTTATAAATTTATTATGAATAATAAAGGAAATGAGGATAGACCTCTCTTAATAATAAAAAAAAAAAAATTATTACCATTTTCAATATTTGACCTTCTACATTTTGCTTATTAGTTAAATAATATAGTTTTTTAACAAATTCTTTATAAAGACTTTTATAAGTTTCAGTAGAAAATCTATTTAAAGAACCATATTTTTTAATTAAATCAGAAGCATAATAGAACCATGAATGTAATTTTGGATACTTTAATTCTGATGTAGAAAATGTTTCAAAAAGAGCAATAAATTTTTCAGCCCATTTTTTGTAAGATTCTAAATATATTAATATTCATTAATAAATTTTAGAATAAAACATTTCAATATAATTCAAAAATATTCGCATATTTGCAAAATATTTAACGAATAAAAAATTTTAATAAAATTTAAAATTATTTGAATATTTGTGAAATGTTTACAAACCTCTAAATCATTTAAGTCATTATCAATGAATTCCTCAGATCGACTTAAAATATATATATGATTCCAATTTTTATAAAGCTCTAATAAGTCTTTTTGAATAGGATCGCCAATATCCAGATTATCTAAAACAAATATCATAACCTTTATAAGGTTTTGATATTTGTTTGCGATACCTTTGGTAAGTGCTGAAATACCATTTTTAAATATCTTCAAACCCGAAAACCTTGGAATATTAGCTAACCTATTATCAATTTTTTCTAAAATAGATGCTCCATATCGTTTTTTTAAAAGATTACAAGTAAATTTAATTTGGTACAGTGCAGGATAGCAAAAAACATCCAACTTTTTTAAAAAAAGTGCCAAATTTGAGAATTTATAATGATTCTTATTGGCTAATTTTTGTGTAACAAAAATTTGATTGGTTAAAAAATATAAAATTGATTATTTTTTATATAATAAGCACCAAATTTTGGTTTTTATATAGTGCAGAATAGCAAAAAATATCCACTTTTTTATATATAAATATAAAAATGCTTATAACTTTTGAACAAATGACTTTAAAAAAAATCTGTCTTACAG